CCCTACCCACTCTGAAACCTCCTTGCTCATCCGCAATCCTACATTCTGTCTTACCTCTAATTCTTTCAATTAAAACCCTACCGTACACTTTTCCTGGTATACTCAGTAAGCTTATTCCTCTATAATTTTTACAGTCTCTTTTGTCCCCTTTCCCTTTATAAAGGGACTATACATGCTCTCCGCCAATCCCTAGGTACCTTCCCCTTTTCATACATTTATTAAACAAAAGTACCAACCACTCCAACACTATATCCCCCCCTGCTTTTAACATTTCTGTCATGATCCCATCAGTTCCAGCTGCTTTACCCCCTTTCATTTTACGTAATGCCTCACGTACCTCCCCCACACTTACATTCTGCTCTTCTTCACTCCTAAAAGATGGTATACCTCCCTGACCAGTGCATGAAATTACTGCCTCTGTTTCTTCCTTAACATTTAAAAGTTCCTCAAATATTCTCGCCATCTACCTAATACCTCCATCTCCCCATCTACTAACTCCCCTACTCTGTTTTTAACTGACAAATCCATACTTTCCCTAGGCTTTCTTAACTTGTTTAACTCACTCCAAAATTTTTTCTTATTTTCATTAAAATTTCTTGACAGTGCCTCTCCCACTCTTTCATCTGCTCTCCTTTTGCACTCTCTCACCACTCTCTTTACCTTTCTTTTACTCTCCATATACTCTGCTCTTCTTATAACACTTCTGCTTTGTAAAAACCTCTCATAAGCTACCCTTTTTCTCTTTTATCACACCCTTTACTTCATCATTCCACCAATCACTCCTCTTTCCTCTGCCCCCACCCTCGTATAACCACAAACTTCTGCCCCACATTCTAATACTGCATTTTTAAAACTATTCCAACCCTCTTCAACCCCCCCACTACTCATCTTTGCACTAGCCCACCTTTCTGCCAATAGTCGCTTATATCTCACCCGAACTTCCTCCTCCCTTAGTTTATACACTTTCACCTCCCTCTTACTTGTTGTTGCCACCTTCCTCTTTTCCCATCTACCTCTTACTCTAACTGTAGCTACAACTAAATAATGATCCGATATATCAGTTGCCCCTCTATAAACATGTACATCCTGGAGCCTACCCATCAACCTTTTATCCACCAATACATAATCTAATAAACTACTTTCATTACGTGCTACATCATACCTTGTATATTATTTATCCTCTTTTCATAAAATATGTATTACTTATTACCAAATCTCTTTCTACACATAGCTCATTAAAGGCTCCCCATTTACATTTACCCCTGGCACCCCCAAATTTACCTACTACTCCCTCCATAACATTTTTACCCACTTTAGCATTGAAATCCCCAACCACCATTACCTCACACTTAATTCAAAAACTCCCCAGCATTCACTCAACATTTCCCAAAATCTCTCTCTCTCCTCTACACTTCTCTCTTCTCCAGGTGCATACACGCTTCTTATAACCCACTTTTCACATCCAATCTTCATTTTACTCCACATAATCCTTGAATTAATACATTTATAGTCCCTCTTTTCCTGCCATAGCTTATCCTTCAACATTATTGCTACTCCTTCTTTAGCTCTAACTCTATTTGAAACCCCTGACCTAATCCCATTTATTCCTCTCCACTGAAACTCTCCCACCCCCTTCAGCTTTGTTTCACTTAAAGCCAGGACATCCAGCTTCTTCTCATTCATAACATCCACAATCATCTCTTTCTTATCATCTGCACAACATCCACGCACATTCAGACTTCCCACTTTGACAATTTTCTTCTTCTTATTCTTTTTAGTAATCTTTACAGGAAAAGGGGTTACTAGCCCATGTACAAGCATATATATATGCACCTCTCTGGTTTTTCTTCCATTTTCTTACTAGTTCTTATTCTTGTTTATTTCCTCTTATCTCCATGGGGAAGTGGAACAGAATTCTTCCTCTGTAAGCCATGTGTGTTGTAAGAGGCGACTAAAATGCTGGGAGCAAGGGGCTAATAACCCCTTTTCCTGTATAAATTACTAGATTTAAAAAGAGAAACTTGTTTTTCTTTTTGGGCCACCCTGCCTCGGTGGGATATGGCTGGTTTGTTGGAAAGAATAATAATAATGTGGTGGTGGTTTGGCCATTTAGAGAGAATGAAGCAAAACAGGATGATTTGAAAGGTGTATAAATCTGTAGTAAAGGGGAGAAGGGGTAAGGGTTGTCCTAGAAAAGGATGGACAGGGTGAAAGAGGTTTTGTGTGCAAGTGGCTTGGACAAAGAGCAGGCATGTGAGTGTGTATTAGATAGGCGTGAATGGAGACAAATGGTATTTGGGACTTGACAAGCTGTTGGGGTGTGAGCAGGGTAATATTTTGTAAAGGGACTCAGGGATACCAGTTAGCCAGACTTTAAGTGATGGAAGTGGGAAGTACAATGCCTGCACTTTAACCCTTTCACTGTCAGGACCCCTGATTCTCAGTTTTCGTTCTGTGTCAAGAAATACTCGAAAAAAAATTACATTCTTATGAAATGATAATCTTTTCCTGATGGTAATGATGCCCTCCCCCCCCAAAAAAAACACAATTTGATGTAAAACATATGGAATTATGCTCTCACGAAATGAGCGCTCTTGGCAATATTTATGCATCGCCGATTTTGCCCACTTCAAGCCCTATTTTCGGCCAATTTGATTATTCCAGTCACCCACACTCATAGCTATTTCACTAGAACTCCATTTGTTCTATCGAGTGAGTACAATAAATTGCCCATTTACAGATTTCAACTACCCAATAAAGCAATCAGAAATTGGTAATTTGGCCAATTTCATACACAATTCAAGTAAGGCCAATTTCAAAATAGGGGCAAAGAATAAACAATGCAGACATTCCTAGCACTAAAATAACATTTTCTCTGTTCATTAGTCATGTCTCTAGACCCCTCTTATATTACGCTTGCTTTCCATTTTGAATTTTTATTCACACAAAAAAATTTGGGGAATCAAATTCAAAATGGGAATTGACTCAGTTACTTTTTGCTGATGATACTGTGCTTATGGGAGATTCTAAAGAAAAATTGCAAAGGTTAGTGGATGAGTTTGGGAATGTGTGTAAAGGTAGAAAGTTGAAAGTGAACATAGAAAAGAGTAAGGTGATGAGGGTGTCAAATGATTTAGATAAAGAAAAATTGGATATCAAATTGGGGAGGAGGAGTATGGAAGAAGTGAATGTTTTCAGATACTTGGGAGTTGACGTGTCGGCGGATGAATTTATGAAGGATGAGGTTAATCATAGAATTGATGAGGGAAAAAAGGTGAGTGGTGCGTTGAGGTACATGTGGAGTCAAAAAACGTTATCTATGGAGGCAAAGAAGGGAATGTATGAAAGTATAGTAGTACCAACACTCTTATATGGGTGTGAAGCTTGGGTGGTAAATGCAGCAGCGAGGAGTCGGTTGGAGGCAGTGGAGATGTCCTGTTTAAGGGCAATGTGTGGTGTAAATATTATGCAGAAAATTCGGAGTGTGGAAATTAGGAAAAGGTGTGGAGTTAATAAAAGTATTAGTCAGAGGGCAGAAGAGGGGTTGTTGAGGTGGTTTGGTCATTTAGAGAGAATGGATCAAAGTAGAATGACATGGAAAGCATATAAATCTATAGGGGAAGGAAGGAGGGGTAGGGGTCGTCCTCGAAAGGGTTGGAGAGAGGGGGTAAAGGAGGTTTTGTGGGCAAGGGGCTTGGACTTCCAGGAAGCGTGCATGAGAGTGCTAGATAGGAGTGAATGGAGACGAATGGTACTTGGGACCTGACGATCTGTTGGAGTGTGTGCAGGGTAATATTTAGTGAAGGGATTCAGGGAAACCGGTTATTTTCATATAGTCGGACTTGAGTCCTGGAAATGGGAAGTACAATGCCTGCACTTTAAAGGAGGGGTTTTGGGATATTGGCAGTTTGGAGGGATATGTTGTGTATCTTTATATGTGTATGCTTCTAAACTGTTGTATTCTGAGCACCTCTGCAAAAACAGTGATAATGTGCGAGTGTGGTGAAAGTGTTGAATGATGATGAAAGTATTTTCTTTTTGGGGATTTTCTTTCTTTTTTTTGGGTCACCCTGCCTCAGTGGGAGACGGCCGACTTGTTGAAGAAAAAAAAAAAAAAAAAAATAGAAGATTTACTGTTATGCAGACTACTGCATTATTGTAAAAATGGTATAAATAATATCAGCACATTTCTGAAAGCATATTAGACCCACCAGTTGACGTGTATTGGACGTGTGGTGTAATCTGTTTACTCTTGAACATTGGCAAAAATTGAACATTTCTGCCACTTTGAGTTCAATTTCAAGGTATACTTTTATTCCAAAAACCATTCAAAATCACCTCTATTTCTGTAATATATCTTCCATTCTACGAAATGAAACCAAGAAAACGAGAATACATCCATAAATATTATACGAAAATACACCGCAAAGTCGGTGTTTTAAACAAAAAGCACATTTTTTTTTCTCATTATGCACTGCGTACTGCAGGATTTTTTTTTATATTGCACACACTGAGCACACAGACCCATTCTCTCACATATAGGCCTACCAGCTCCCTCTCACCAAATCTGAAGGTGCTAGAATTTTGGCGTAGTATTACAGGACCAACAATGAAAGGGTTAAAGGAGAGATTTGGGATATTGGCCGTTTGGAGTGACATCTAAACTGCTGTATCTGGGGGTGCCTCTGAAAAGACAGTGATTATGTGTGAATGATAGTGAGTGTTTCTTTCTTTTTTGGGTCACCCTGCCTTGGTGGGAGATGGCCAACGTGTTAAAAAAATGATAAAAGACTATGGGTTATTTTTAAGCATTTAATTTCATGTACCCAAAAAGTATTAAATATTGTGTTTAGAAAAGTATCTTATTTTCAATTAAAATGCTAGTAATAATTTTAATATTCTACATCATTATATTCTGTATTAATATACATAAATACTCTGACCCAAAAATTCTGCTCTCACCTTTGAGGTACTGTAATACAAGATAAATTTGCAATGAATAAGAAAACACCTTTTTTTTTGGTATGTATTTTAAGTTGGCATGTCAGCGCATTTACAACCACTGGATTAATGTTAAGCAAAGCACAAGTAAGAGTGCTCACCTGCACAGGTCTCCACACCTCTGTTTTTCAGGTTCTTATTATCTTCCTTGACACAGCCAACAATTGGCATTACCCTGATCTTGGAATGTGCCAAACAAAACTACTGTATCGTTCTTTTTCAGTCAATGCACCAAACTGTCAATGACCAGATAATTTTCCTAGAAAATAAAATCAAACACCAGTGATCAGAAAAGTTTGTCTAAAAAATAATTAACAAAACTTTGCAAAAAAAAAAAAATATGGACAAGTACTGTACTTTATAAGATAATGAATGGAATGTGTTACACAAATTAAAGTCTATATTACTATCATAAACTAACCATCACAGTTCTAAATGAAAATACAACAGAAACACATTTTAACATATAGTTCATGTTCTTTGGCATTAGCTTCACCCTCAAATGGTTGCAGAGAAATGCTGGGGACAGTATTTACAAGATTATGGTTAAATTTTTTTATATCTGAAGATGACAGATAATCAGAAGGTAGTCAAAATAAAAAAAAAAAAAATCCATAAAGTTCATATTCACAAAATTAAAAGAAAAGGCACCTGCAATCATTTGATGTATGTGAACTTGATCATGAGGTATAAATACTTAAATAAATATATTTACTATTTACACATTCTTAAGACAGTCACATTTTCAAAAATCATATCTACAAAATGGTAAAATCCCCCAAAATGGACCTCATAAAGCTTTTCATTTGCAAAACAATATTTTTTTTAAATATATGTAATAACATCATTACTTATTAATGACTCATGGAAGGATTTGACTAGTTTGACATAAATCTTCATAAAATTTCCTCAATATACATTTTTGTTACTAATGTAGAATATAAATTAATATCTTAAGACTACTTTATTATCTATTGTGATTAGCATCCAGATTAAAAACCTAACTATTCCTCCATTTCATTTATTAAACAAACATCTCCCCATAAAGTGTAGGTCAACCCCTTCCCATGTTCACAATGTCTGACATCATCACACTTAAACATCGGACAAGCTAGAGCAGCCCTGAAACTTGGTATGCTTAAAGATGAACAAAATGACAAATTCACTGCAAGCTAGAACTGCAGTACAGCCGAGTTGTTAAATACAAGCAGTTCATTTGTTGTAGAAGAATTCTGGCTCTGGATCATACTTTCTTAAGTGAACTCTGAGATATCTAAATATACTGCAAAAGGATTGTTTTCACACATATTACAAGATTTACTATGGTATATTGTGCTTCCATTCCCTGCAATGATGCTCAGGAAATAATGAAAATTAGTGACACCAGTTATATATATGGCATTGTCTACTTATAATGTATTATTGTCTACAACTTCTAGATCAGAAGCTTACAACACATTGCCAGCAGTTAACTGTCTGCTATCTATAAATTATAATGCTATGTAGGTTCATATTATGATCAGCCTACATAAAAGTTACTTGCTTTACCACTGAATAATAAGGCAATAATAAAAAAAAGCATGCTTGTGACATCTGTTTGATACATCATATGTGTAACACATTTAAAATTGGTTGAACAGGATTATTATTCCTTCAATGAAATGTTTGACAAATACTAATAGCACAAGAATGATTTCAGCATGGAAGTACACACTGTATATAATACATATTATAAGTATCACAATATTTGCAAATGTTACGGCTGCTTATTCAAGGAAGTAACCCCTAGAGAATTACCATGATACAATATTTCTCATATATTGTAATTATGAGAATTTCCATGCCTTATAACAATCATATTTAACTCTGATAAAAAAATTGTTCAGCTAAGTTTTTATACACACTGATCATTTATAAGTTTTAGAACTTAAATGCTGTATCTGATACAATCAAAATTATTGTATTCATATACTAAATGAGTTCCATGAAAACAAGTTTTACCCAAAAATGCATATACAATAGATAAAAAACAAGTGTTACTGGCAATTATCTTCTGTAATTTTGATGAGGAAACATGCCATAAACAATGAGCAACAATAGCTGGTCGAAAATATACATTCAATAAGTTGTGAATTTCTATCATTAATATTTTGAAAGGCAATTTATCAGGTGTAAATATAAATCAGAGGTAAAGAATTATGTTTCAGTGTTCAAAGGTCCACAAGTGAATGGCATTGGTGGCTGGCTGGCGGCTCTGGGTTGGCGTTGGTCTGGTGCTAATGTGCTTCGGCCTCTACCCATGCGGTCACACTCTTCAGAACTGTTGGTTAAGGAGATAATTTACAATTACTGTACAATTCATTATTTCCATAAGCAGAGAGAAACCATAAAAAATATTTGTGAAGGAGGGGTGGAGATATGATGCAGTTTTTGAACTGTAGTATTGGCATGCCTCTGGCAAAACAGTGATGGAGTGAATGATGAAGAAAGTGTTTCTGCTTTTTCGGGTCACCCTGCCTTGGTGGGAGATGGCCAATGTGTTAAAAAAAAAAAAAGGTATATTAGTTGTTTCCACAAAGGAGGGTGAACCAAAGAAAGAAGCATGTTCACTTTCACTCATTTCCTGGTTGTCTTTCCACAAGTGTACAGCCATCAAAACTGAAATGATCCAAACTGCAGCATCTCATTGCATTCATGGATTTAGGAAAGGCATATGATAGAGTGGATAGGGGAGAAATGTGGCAAATGTTGCAAGTATATGGAATAAGTGGTAGGTTGATAAGACACTTGTGCAACACTTGGGTATCTTTATTCAGGAAATGTTTTGCCAGCCAGTGGCTTCCTCAGTCCAATACAGAGAAACGGTAGAAGATAAGGAGGAGAGTGAGGTAATCAATCCCTCAGTCTGGAGTGGAAAAACTCCACCTACCACTGCTCCACCTCATTTGTCTATGAAATACAATCCCCATCTCCACAAATACACTGCACTATTGTCAAGACTGATGGACTGAACACATCAACTCCAATCTAAGGGACTGATTATCTCACACTTCTCAGTTTCCACTGTTTCTCTGCACTGAACCGAAGACGACAGTGAGTAGCAAAACAGTTCCAAAATAAAGATGCCCAAGAGTGGCACATTATTATTATTATAATAAAAAAGAAGCGCTAAGTCACAAGGGCTATACAGCGCTGCAGGGTAGGGAAGGAAGCGAGGGTATTGGATGGCAGAAGGGAGGAGGGATGATCAGTAGGTTACAGAAAACAGCGGGGCAGGGGATAGTACGGGGGTAGAGGGTAGCAAGAGATTGAAGTAAAAAGGGCTGAAGGTATCAGAATTTGTGAAGTAAGTCAGTTGTTGTCAAAAAGTCAATGAGAGAGTCTGGATGAAAGGTGGGTCCATCAGCGAGAAGGGAAGGTAAAGAGAGAGCAGCGGAGCGAAGACGACGACGGAGGTAAATTCTGCATGCTCGTTGATAAAGTGGGCAGTCCAACAGAATGTGGCTGACTGTAATGGAACTTGGCAATTCTCACAGAGAGGAGCAGGGCGCCTCTCCATGAGATATCCATGAGTAGACGAGTATGGCCAATGCGAAGACAGGAGAGGGTTAGTCCCCCAAACCCTCGACACTGGTGATAAGAAGACGGCCAGTAACCTATACTCGTTTAATAGACTGAAGTTTGTTGCCGGCATAGTAGACCAACGTTGTTCCCAAACGGGTGGGGAAGGGGGGAAGATTTTTGCAGCAAAAATAGTCCGTAAATGGAATACCTCTATAAGAAACTGGTAGGTCATGTACTGCTGACGCGCAGCAGTGTCTGCCTGTTCATTGCCCTGTACGTCAACATGACCAGGGACCCAACAAAAAACAATATCTTTATGTTTGGGTAAAGATGCGGCGTAGCCAAAGTTGGATACGGAGGACTAAGGGGGTGAGGTGTATAAAATTTTTTGTATAGCCTGAAAAAAGCACTAAGGGAGTCTGAGACAACCACAAATGATGACACAGGCATAGATGCAATACGGATAAGTGCTGTAAGGATGGCATATAATTCAGCAGTAAAAATACAGCCGAAGATAGTAAAAACGCCCTTGTACGACGCTGTCCGGAAACACTGCTGTGAACCCTTCCCGTCAGAAGACTTAGAGCCATCTGTGTACACAGCAATGGCATGAGATGAGAGTGAAAGTGGTCAAGAAAAAAGAGAGCGGGAAGCGACCGTAGACAGTTGGGCTTCGAGCAAGGGAGGGAGAAAGAACAGACTCGAACAGCTGGAATTTCCCCAGGGAGGTAGGGAAAGTGAGATGCTACATGTACATAGAAAGGTGGTGTTGAAGAGAAGACAAGAGCGAATGAAGGCAAAAGAGAGAAGGGACGGAGTAAAACAGGGGCGGCGAACAAAAAAAGAATGTCTAAAATATCAGTGACCATTCTATAAATGGAAGGATTGCAGAGATCATGAGAGGCGTACATAGTAGCGCAGGCAATGGGCATCACGGCGATCGGAAAGGAGGGAACGTTCGCTTCTGCATAGAGGTCTCGACAGGGAAGAGCGAAAAGCACCAAGGCATAAACGTAATCCTTGGTGATGAATGGGGTTAAAGCTAGAGAGAGTAGCAGGAGATGCCGCTGAATAGATCTGGTCACCATAATCAAGTTTCGATAAATAAGGGTGGAATGTAGGCAAAGGAGGGTTCGACGATCAGCTCCCACGAAAAATGAGCAAGGGTTTTAAGAAGGTTCGCCGGGTGTGACAAGTTGGGCCTTCAGAGAGGTAATGTGAGGTTTCCAGGATAACCTACGATCAAAGAGGGGCCAGAAACTTGACTGTATCACGTTCAGGGATACGGGAGCCATAGAGTACAAAGGATATCGGAGAATGACAGAGCGTCTAGTGAAAGTGATTTGGTGGGTTTTGTGCTGGAAAATTTAAACCCACGTGTGGTGGCCCCAAATTTGGAAACACGGTCGACTGCATGTTGGGAGAAACTGTAAGGAGGTGACAGTCAGCGCCTGCACAGGCAATAGCGAAGTCTCAACATAGAATGATGACCAAATATTTGATGGAAGACTAGAGGCCAAATCATTAATAGCAAGGAGAAAAAGTGTTGTGCTCAGAAACACATCCTGGGGGGGCACCTTCAGCTTGGATAAAGTCCGGGGAGAGCACATTATTAACCCGAACATGGGAAAAGCCTGTCAGTTAAAAGTTCTTAAGGAAAAGGGTGGTAGATTGGGCCTCGAGGCCTAAGGAGTGGGCTTGGGCTAAAATATTATACCTCCAAATTGTGTCATATGCCTTCTCAAGGTCAAAAAATATGGCAATAAAATGAGTGGTTATTCGCAAAGGCAATTCGAAAAATACGTATCCAAGAGTAGTAAGGGGTCTATGGTAGAACGTCCCTTACGAAAGCCATAAATTGACGAGTGGAGAGACTGTTTTGTGTCTCCCAAATACCACACTAAACGTCTATTTACTAGGCGTTCGATTACTTTGCAAACTGCACTGGTAAGAGCAATGGGACGATAGTGGGAGTTTCATGTCCCGTAGTGCCTGGTTTGCGGAAAAAGGGAGAACAATGGCGGATTTCCACAGCTGTGGAAGAACTCCTTGTGACCAAATAAAATTGTAAAGGGGTAATAGGACTGCAAGGGCTGACTGATGTAAATGTTGTAGCATACGGAATATGAATGTCGTCGGGCCCCGCTGCCAATGATCGACAAGCTGAGAGTGTTGCCTCCCGTTCTTGAAGTGTAAAAGGCACATTATACTGTTCTTCTCTGAGAGAAGGGAAAAATCCAAGGTGCCCAACTCTCTGGCAGACTTTGGGAAAGAAAGAAGGGGGCATAGATGGAGTCCCTGGAAATTACGGACCAGATGATTGCCAATTTCATTGGCAACATCTAGTGGGTTTGCATATCAACACCAGCAACCCCCAGAACAGGAGCCGGGTCAGGAGATATTTAAACCCCTCAGTTTTGTACTTTTTTCCAGACTGCACTCATAGAGGAAGCAGAGGTGATGGTGGAGACATAATCTCGCCAGCAAGTGCGT